GAAAATATTTACATTCGAAAAACTCCTGGACACATACTTCTCTACGGTTCTCGAACCTCTTCCATCTAATCTATCAAATCTCAACTCTGAAATTCGTGATCTTTTTCCTATTACCGAACGATTAGCATTACCCCACCTTGCAGAATACCGAAGAAAACTAGCAAAATATTATATTATAGAAAGAATTCCTCCCAACTATTTCAACCTGCCTAAAGCTCGACCAGAACTACCCTCAACACCCCAAAATCTTAATTCTGCAGTCTGTCATTTGTTTCCCTGCAACCCAATAGATGCTTCAGAATTTTGTAGATTCGTTGACATTCTAAGAGAACACTACAATTTTAGACATATTCCTAATAACTATTTCATACAGAAGAAACCTTTTCCATCTGATCTTTACTCTATTAAAATGACTAGAACCTATACTTTTCCTATCTCTGATACGCATTCAGCTAAAGAATTCGTTGCAGAAATTCAAAGCAAATACAAATTCAATATCCCTCTCCTTCTTCACTACATGACTGCCAACCCTACAAACAAACCCCACTACCAGCCGATTCAAAACTTATCACCGAAATCAACTTAACTTTACCAATTAATAGCCCTAAGGTCTTAGTTGACACAGCACGTCAACTAAGAGAATTTTACTTTTTTCACCAGATTCCCTCAGATTGGATTGAAATTAACATCACCCCCAATCCTTCAACCAAACCACCTCTCCCACTACAACTATCTAAAATCATATTCTATCTAGAGCAAACTAACTTAATTCACACGATTCAAATTCCTATCACTCAACACAACCGTATCGAACAAACCATCGCTGATTTGAAAGACTATTTTAATTTTCAAGGCATACCACCATACTTACTCAACCTTCCCAACTTACCTGACCCCCACTGGGACATTCTCAACAACTACTCACCTTAATTATGAGTGACAACCTCAATATCGATACTCACTCCACACACACTACAAGCAACCTATCTAATCTTATTTTAGTTTCTACTTTACTTATATCACCCTCAACCATTACTAGAGATAATTCTTTATCTCTTAACTCTTCACCCTCTATTGAAAACCCACTTCTAAACACTAGTCTTGATATTCATAATTACCTTAACATAGCTACACATAATGCCCAAGGTCTTA